ATTGAATTTGTCGACTTACGCATTAGAAATTTGCTGCAGGTTAAAATGAGGATAGATGAAAAAGGAATGCTGAAGTAGACTGTGTATGAAGGGGAGCAGAAGGTACGGCAACCAGTGGGGAATGCGGTCGCAAATATGCCTAGCATTCGCCGTGAAATGTTAGGGATCGATCAGCCCTTGTGCCTATACTGATACCAAGAGGATTGCGATTGCGGAAATAAGTCGACCTAGTACAAAAGTTAGTACAGCCTTTATAATCCTACGATGTCTGGCGCCAGAAAGTGATTTATTTTGGGGTGGAGACTATGCACGCGCGAACGCCATAAGGACTGTTAGTATCTCGATTATTAGACGTGACACAATGAGGTGCCGTCATCAAAAGTATAACCATATTCCAAACCTCTGTTAGATACCGTGTGTTTCTTGGGTCAAAAAGTACTAATTGCTAGTTAGGTGGACAATAAGCAGGAGGAAAACACAAGTCATCTGTTTACGTCGGCAAAACATTTAAGACAAGCTGGTTGGCCATATCAGTTCGTTCGTATGTTCAACCAACATATAGTACTACGTTTTGTCAAGCAAAGTCTACAATCTTAAATAATACACGCAAGCAATACAGTAAAAATATGAACGTAAGGTTGCGAAGATACCTAGTTCAATACGCCTCATCACGCAAATACAGTCATAGGATTGTATAACATTGAAGGGCAAACTGTGAAAAGATGACTCGGGAGCAATGGAACAACGTTTATAACTTCGATCGGTATTCTTGTCGATCAACTGGATAAAGGTGTTACGGAAGCTGATGGAGCAAGGGCTGCACCCGCCGGCTGCTGCTGTCTGGCGATGAGGGTTTTCCGCCTGATCATGGCGAGAAGTGCGCATGCACACGGTGGTTTGTTTGTGCAACGCCGGCTGCAGTGCGCTGAAAACAATGATCTCAATCGTCTTCAGGAGGCGTTTACTAATATTTTTTGTACCAGTTGGGTACAGTGTAAAATGCTTTGAATGAGACAGCTGGTTGGAGTCCGTTTCCACTTTGGAACGAATGCTGTATGATGGCAGTGTTACGGCTTTCGACCACAGCCTCTCCAAGCGATGCCGGACAGTGCTCAGTTTCCGTCTTCAAAAAGGTCTGGCCTTATGACTGGGGTCCCAACGTGAGCTAAGTTTGGCTGCTCCCTATTGGCTGGACTCGCCTGCGTCGGTACGCCAAGTTAGCTATGGATCGGACGGTTAAATCATGCAAAGCGTTGTTTGAGGCTAAACCTAGTACATAGTATGTAATTCTGCAGCTGGCGCGTACTGACGTGTTACGCTGCAAACCGAATACTGCGTTTTACTGAGTTTTGTAGTTTCACACTGACGATGCTTTAGTATTGCGACGGAAATTAACCGTTTAAAAAGGTGCATCTTGCGAGCATATTTTAGCGCTTCGGACTCGCTGGGAGAGAGCCTTATGCGTTTACCATGGACTATGCTCTGTTACAAATTCATACACCAGTCTTAACGACACCTAATCTAACAAACTCCTGAGACATCTTGGCGCAGAAACTCAAAGGCAATTTGACGCACTACGTTTGTACGAAAACAGATATTTATCGGCAAGGCTTAACGCACCCCATCTGATTTGGAGGCCGCGACAACGTGGCTTCAGTGCAAGCCTGCGTTTTTACCAGTTAAGACAGGAAGAAGGTGATATTGCTTTCATTAGCCTATACAACAATCCTTTCCAGACTGCCATTATAACGAAATTCCACCCACGAGGTTTGATGGGACAAGGGTAATCCACTATATGTTGGTTGGTAATCGGGAGGATGAAACCGGCAAACGTCTACTTTTGGAAGCCGAGAGGACAGCAAGCGAGACAGCAAGCTCGCTGGTCAGATAACGGGAATAGTTGGTACAACAATTGGCTCATTACCGGAACGATTCTCTTCCTGGTGCAGTTAACGCGGTCAACCGGCATCGTCAACTAAACGGCAAAAGTTCTTTTACTTACAACCAATGCGGAGTAAGGCATGAACAGAGTGCTCTGTAGATATAAGCATTACCTGTCCGAAATGCGGTATAGTTGGACCTCTTGCAAGCGTATGCCGTTCGACGGTTCTATGATGATCGATACGCCACCCTGTACACAATTCTGTTCCGGTAATGGAAGACTCAGAGGAGCTCACACCGTAACTGATGTCACACACCACCACAGAACACGTGCTAGGGATACCTCCACATACTGTGGATTTGGCTATAGATGGCCGAATAATGCGTTTGGAAATCCACATCAGGACATCAGTAACCTTAATCAACAAGCGAAAGCTGTCTTATGTGGTTCTGACGCCGGTTTAAACTACGCTATGTTCATACACGAAAGAAGCACTGGGTAGGTTGGGTGGGTGTAAGGTAAAAGCAACTCATGGAAACGATAGGTCGACTTTTCCCATGATCGTGTTTAACACCCACGGGCCAGAACAACTTGAGAGGCATTGGGTGGAACGCATGCCGGATGTACTTCGAAAAGTCAAGAAGGTGGATTACATTCCGGATTTTCCCACACTTTTGAAAGTGGCTGCTAACGACTTTGACGCACAACTACCCGGGAAGTTGCGCGAGTTCAAAGTTCGTTTCAACATCAGGCCAGGTACCCAACCGATATTTTGCAAAGCACAAAGCTTGCATTTTGCTAGCTTTTCAAGGGTAGTGTAGGAGATGAAGCGCCTTTAAGTAGATGGCATAATCAAGCCTGTACGACACTCAAGCTGGGCCTCACCGATCGTTCCGGTACAAAAACCAGATGGCTCGATACGTATTTGCGTCTATAAACTAAATATAAATACTGCAAATACTCTTATTACATTTCGGTTGTCATGATCACGAACTGCAGATCATCTACAACAGGCTGAAACCTACGCGGGCAGCTGTCATTCAGTGTTCACTGGACTAAAAAGCAGTTGGCAGCAAGATACCTAGGTCACATCGGAGTGGCATGCGCGGCACTTCATTCCCATCAAGCAGCTAATGCTTCAGTGAGTCACTTGATTTTAATTTTAAAACTAACATGCAGCGAGATTTACAGGCGGCTGTAACAAAACGGACCAGTCTAAAGTATATCCAGAGTCTCACACGCCACAATGCTTTTCGACCCCGGGTTGAACACACCAGATAAGGATAGAAGGTCACGAACGAACGACCATTGGAATAGTAGCCGAAATCACTATACCTTTTGGCTACCGTGTCAATAGGGGCAACGCCTGTTACCGTGGTGAATATCATGCATCACCCGATAATCATTAACAACCGGGAGTATATATTCCCATCCTCCGCCAAACAAATTTTTGCACTGTGGCTCACCAAACTTGACATATCCGACTTTTGTGCGTCTACAATGAGAGGATCGCGGAAAGTGTACGACAGCTACATGTGAGGCGCAATGTCACATTACATACCACATTGACAACGAGCTGTCACACTCGCGAGCGATTCCGACCATTTTGCGTTTCATTTTATTACTGTTATCATATTACGCCAGGACATTTGTCCGATCTGGGCGAATTTATGTAATGTCCCGGTCTTAGGCAATGCATGGAATTCTGATAAGGCTTTCATCCCAACAGTTCATAAGCTACATAGCAGAGCCTAGTCCGGGAAAGCGCCAGACGCGTTTCGCCCTATTGGGGCTCGTCAGTGGCGCGCATTCTCTCGGTCCTCTAAGGAGGATCGAACCCATGACCCCTAGAGGTTGATGCCAACTAGCCAGCAGCTTAAGCCACTGAGCCATGGGGGACGTTGGCTGGGCTACATAATTTGCAAACTAGCTGGGATATAGCACCACCTATCTACCACTGTCACTGACAGTGGTTAGCTTGCAAGGTGATGTCCTCTCACTAGACGCAATACCTATAGCATTTGAAACCAGGAGAGGCTTTTGATTTTATAGTACTCATTAGTAGCAGGATTTTAGTCGTAAATCTGATAAGGCTTTCATCCCAACAGTTCACAAGCTACATAGCAGAGCCTAGTCCGGAAAAGCGCCAGACGCGTTCCGCTCTATTGGGGCTTGTCAGTGGCGCGCATTCCCTCGGTCCTCTAAGGAGGATCGAACCCATGACCGATGGAGGCAGATGCCAACCAGCCAGCAGCTTAAGCCACTGAGCCATGGGGGACGTTGGCTGGGCTACATAATTTGCAAACTAGCTGGGCTATAGCATGCATGGAATTGCCGAAAATATATGTTCACAGACCGCGATTCGCATTGGTCAAAGCGATCACTGGGAAGCAGATGGAAATCGGTTGTTGCTAGCCCGACATTCGACGATCACGGGTTTTAACCTCACATGGGGCAGATGGAAAGCACACTGTAGACGAGTCAGAGAAGGATAAGACAGCTGCGCAATAATCTTACGAGTGTGCAGTAGCCATCTGACAGTGTGACTGTGACGAAACCCCACCAGACAGATAAATCGTATGTTTGCAAAATGGTATAGACTGAAAATTCGACAAGTTTGGTAAACCATTCAGATGCAGTTGACGTTTATCTCTATCATTGTGCAGCATGTACGGTTAATGCCAGTATCCTTAGCGCTGGCTTCATGCTTTTAGCCCCCCCCCCATATGCTTTGAAGAACAACACGTCGCGCCACATTGCTACAGTCATATGCTTGGTGACTAAGCACCCGGTGATAAATTCCGTTCTCTAACGCAAGCAGGAATGTGTAGTTAACGAAACAGGACGACCCTAGGTAAATTATGAAACTCAGACAGTAAGATAATAACCAAAAGATTGCTAAAGTGTCACCCTGAAATAAAGACTGGTTTGTTACAGCGATTTTCGTTGAATGTGCTAGTTGGGGTGTTAACGCGACCTTAAATGACATTTCGATGTGCGACTGCCGATAAAGTTTACTTTAAAATATCACGCCGTGGGTACTTGCTGATTTTGCGCGACAATATTTCTGTCTCGCAATTGAAACGCTGTGACCTGGAAAAACAGACTACCTTCAAGTCGAGCAGGAACATTTATTTGCACAAGGATGATTGGCGCACAAACAAGAAAAAAGAACTCGGTTAAACAAAGTGCCCCGGTTACAAGTAGTCTGAAGTAAGTCATCGATGTCGCTTGCGTTTTCCTTCGTGTTCATACACTTCCCCTTCGCTTCCGCTGTCAACTTCTTCACCATCTTCCGGATCTGAAGAATTACTGCGATGATGATTTCGTTTACGACGATGTCGACGAGAAGTGTGGTCAACGCTACCCGTATCGTCCTCATCTTCATCGTCATCATCAGCGGCCTCTCCCTCTTCCAGTTCTTCCTCACCACCCTGTCGACCGCTGGACTTTCGATGCTTATGATGTTTGGTTTTCTTCTTTTTCTTCGATTTCTTAGACTTGCGATGTTTTCGTTTACCAGAAGCGGTACCTGTCTCTATGTCTGACTGATTTGTCGCACTGGCCTCTGAGGGATCGGGAGAGGTGGAAGCAGGTCTCTTTCGATGTTTTTCATGCCTTTCAGACCTATCAGTGAGTTCTGCTCTGGATGTTAAAAAGAGGAAAGATATCTACTGTCAATATGATGCTGTGAATGCCAACAAATATATTGAGAGTACGACGGAAACGGCTCTAGCGACATCACTAACAATCTATTAACACATGACTTTTAGAAAAACAACCCAATTTCAGTCATCCGCGCAGTTCCTTCAGCGCCAATCGACAGCAACAATTACATCGAAGCATATTGAAATAACAGTGGATATTCCATACGACGAAAGCAGTTGATAATAAACGGAATCGAAAAGTTTGCCTCCGAATGCTGCGCAGGCAATTAAAATACCTATTTAAGCTCCCTGTGCACAGTGGGATATTTGGTTTGTTTCAAAAGGTGAACAATCCCTGGTCTAGCAAACAAGCTCGTTTTCGATGATCCATCGTCATGCCGAATACTACACATTTAAATAGCAGATAAGAGGGGGTAAGCTGAGTAAGTAGAAAGTAAGCTGTCGAATGCCAAAAATGGGTGTAATTTGTTCACACGAAAGATGCTCGGACGACAGCTGCCCATGATAAAGCAAACTGCTTATGCGTACATTAGGCTTGGTTTGTCAACAAACCACAAGAAATCGATGGCACTGGATATCACCGTCGACAGCCTATTTTAAACAATGCGCAGCGCCCCTTGGCATTCTCCAGATCCCTTCGATATAGCCATCCGAGGAATTTCGGCTACTTGGGTTGCCATTTGTTCGGAATCGAATCCTTTAGACCAACTCAAAGCACACCTGAAAAGTATAACGGGGTTGTTCAGAGGAATCGCGATGGCCTTTGTTGATGCAAAGATTCCGCATCTGATAAGCTTGGAATGATCACTTCTCACACGGTAGATCGGGCGATAGGCTTTAGGGATAACGACGGGATGATTCGTTTAGACTAGGTGCGCGGCTACTGCACATTTGGTTCAATCCCCGGCTCAGGCACTATTGATGATGGTCGCGGACGCGCTCAGACAAACGTCCCGTGGTGTGACCTATGTAACTGGTTCCACAGGAACAGGTAAACTGGCACACGCAGGTCACATCCACAGACAGTTTATCGTTCGGCTCCATCGCGAAGAGACTGGATCTTAGCGCAGGGTGATGGTTGGCGCGCCAAAACGATCCACTGGGCTATGCTGGGTAGTGCTATTGTACCTTCAAAACCACTCCTACTAGATTGGACAATGGTTAGAGGCCTGACAAACGCTGTCCCCGGCCCTCCAGGTTGGTGTTTACAATAAGGATGGCTTCGTACTTCATAAAACGACCTCTCTGCAATCCAGCACTAAAAGCCCGCTGCCTTGCGGCCAGATTTTTGAACCAAAGGCTTTGGTCGAGAACCCTAGTTGTTCTTCTGTCTAGGCCTGAGCAATCTGACAGTACCCTGCCCACACAATACAACAGTATGACTTCTCCTTATAATAATCGTTTGATACTCTGGTCGCCGCACTATCTGTTGCATCGAGCAGCGTGGAGTGAGGTTTGGGTGCCACTTTTATCCACCTGTTTTCAATACCCCAATTGCTGGCCCTCACCTATCTATGTTTAGCAATTGTTTATCTTTTGATTTCGGCTCATACGCAATAGCAGGGCGTGGCTCCGGTCTAGTCAAAAAATTCGTGTCCAGTCAAATGGGCAACGTCAGTTCATCTGCTTCTGTTTGGAGCCCGCGGTCCTACCCAAGACTGTCATGCCTCTATGTGCGCACTTTGTTGCAAATTGGCCAACAGGCAGTGCTTGCCCGGACATTGGAGTCCCTATCAAACGATATCAGCTGTTTGTCAAAGACTCGCCTGCAAGATTCGAGTTATGTGATTACCCTCCGGTGCCCAACGTGTGACGCTGGCCGTATTTTCTCATTGAGTTTGTCCGGAGATGATGCGGCTTCAAATGCCGGGCAAACCGGTGTGGGCATTGCTCTTAGCCCCTTGGGCTGAATATGCCTTGATCGATTGGATCCCACTGAACAGTCTGATGTGCGCTGTCAGATTAGCTTGCTCGTTCGAAGCATCGAAGTCGCGCGGGGACAAATGGTGCTTGTTGGTCATCACGGCCTATGCGCCCAAAAAGTGTAGAGCTGACCCGGTGAAAGAGGACTACTATCACCAATTAAATGCGCTCCTCCTCGACATAAAAAGTACGGGCACTGTGGTAATTTGAACGCTGAAGTCGGAAAACTGCCCACTGATGAGCTTCATCTGGGCGGTCAACACGGTGTAGGCTCCCGTAATGATAACTGCGAGCGGCTACTACACCTGTATGAAGATGCTTGACTATTTCTCGCGAGCACTAACTTCAGACACAGCACTCGTCGGAGGGTGACATGGCGCGCACCAGCTTTGGACGTGCAATGAACGCAAATCGGTCACATTGTGATCAGTTACCGCTCGATCTACAGCACGACCGTGGACTATGAACACGCACTAGTTTGCGCCGACCTCCGGGTGCGTTTCGGTGGAAATCCGCAACGGCTCTGTGAACGGATGGATATTATCCAGCTGGCAAAGCCAGATGTTCTGAATGTGTATTAAATTATGCCGGCACCTGAGCTGAGCAAAGGCCCACTGAACACAGCTGAGGATCACTGGTCATATATCCACCAGATGATATTTACAGCATCCATGTCTTCATGTGGCAAATCAAATTGCCAAGTTGGAAATTGGGTCTCTATACAATCTCTGGAACTTCTGAATGCTCGCTGGCGTGTTCCGGATGGAAGCGAATATAATGAGACCCGCAAAGCTCTCAAGGCGAAACTATGTGATAGCCTGGAGAAAGACCGAGAAGCGTGGTGTTCTCATCGTGCCTCGGAGATGGAAACAGCCGCTGTCCTTGGTAAGCATTGGAAGGTATTTCGTCTGATACGAGGAACGGGCAGCCGGAGACCTGGTGTTAGCGAAACCATACGCGACGAGAGTGGGCAGCCGATCCACAGCCTGTCAAAACGTTTGGAGCGTTGAGCCGAAAACTTTGAGAAGGAGTTTAATCAGTCAGAGTTGCTAGTTTCTCCATCGGCCAATGAGCACCCTCACTCGCAGAAATCGAATGTGAGAGCAGACGGCTGAAATTGAACAAGGCCGCCGGAGCAGATGGACTTCATCCAGCGCTCTTCGAATATGGTGGACCTGTTCATTTATACGATTTACATAAGTTATTAATGAATCTATGGCATCAGGAGACTCCAGACGGATTGGAGCCGCTCCGTAATAGTACCAATTTTCAAGGGAGGCACCCGTTCCGAATGTAGCGATCATTGAAGAAGCAGTCTGATCTCAATTGCCTCTAAGTTACTTGCGTCTGTCGTCCTGCATAGACTGACTGGGGCTCGTGAAATCCAGATGTGCGAGGAGCAAACCGGATTTCATCGAAATGGAGACTGTATAGACCACTTCAGAACATTACCTCAGTTGTTGGAGCGACGCCATGTTTATTGGCGACCCAACCGTAGTCGCGTACCTAGACATCAAAGGAGTCTTTATTTCGGTTGATCGATGCGCTCTTTGGGACTGTCTAGTCAGGAAAGGTGTGCCCGAGAAATATGTAAATATTATCCGAGCATTATACGCGCGTAGCTCGGACAGAGCGAAGGTGCACGGCAAACTTTCATCGCTCTTCAATATGTCCAGCGGTGTAAGACAAGGTTGCTCGCTGTCACCTTTCCTCTTTAACTTCGCCATTGATGAAGTCATGGAAACGGCGTTCACCGGGCATTACTTAGAAAGTGTGGAGCTGCTCCCTAGTGAACGACTTTTCAACTTGTAGTATGCCGACGACATTGCACTCATCTGTGGTAGCTCCCGGACGTCTCAAGTTGCACTAGATAAATCAGCTCTGGTTGTCAGTCTTTTCGAACTATGTTTTGCACCATGGAATTGCAAAGTACTCCAAGACTGGCAGGAGCCTACTCCAGCACTGTCCATTGGCGGTGATCATCTAGAAGTCGTGGGCGGCTATATCAGCGCCAGCGGAACGGAAGATGGGATCACGAACCGTATGGCAAAAGCATATCGAGCTTTTGCTAATCTCCGCCATCTATGGCGCCAGCGTGACATTACTCTGGCACTGAAGGGCAGAGTTTATAATGCAGCCGTCCGTATAACCCTTTTGTACAGTTGTGAAACCTGGCTCATCAAATCTACAGACTTAAAGAGGCTAGCCGCCTTCGCAGCTCAGCTCATGTCTGGTGGGAGCACCGCATGAGTAATGAGCGTGTTCGGCACCGCGCATTTGGTGTATAAAAAGCGAGTGAACCGTCCAGCTCCGTTATATCACGTACCAGGCTCCGATGGCTGGACCACGTGTTGCGCATGCCAACCCACCGACTCCCGCGACGTGCGTTGCTTGCGCGCCGGAGGGGTGGATGGAATAAGAGGAGGGGAGGCCAAAAAATGACTTAGTCAAGAGGAAGTCCTTCACTTCGAAGTTGGCGTCGGTTGGTGTTTCCTGACTGCTTGCCTGGGGACCGAAGGACAATGAACCCATTTGGTTGGATACACTAGCCGATCTGGCGAAGAGTCGACTTCAGTGGCGTTAGTGTTGTGAGTCTCTTTGTCCCTCATTTTCCATTTAGCTTCAGCTCAACAACGATCACAAATGTGCTATTAGCATTATGCCACCTTCTATAGTTTTTAAGTCTACATTACTTTATGTCTTACCTTTTAGTATTACGGCATTTCAGCTGAGGTGCGTTTTACACCTGTATTGCGTTGGGTTTGTGTTTCGTTATCCTTCGACTGGAAATGTAATATGGGTGTAGTGGTGAAGATAATGCGCTTCACCAGCGTATCCGAAACGTACAGCTTCATTTTGCCGGACAGACAGACCAATATAAAAAGACAAGGTTAGCAATGGGGTAACCAATGGATCCCTTGTTCGCTACGTTTACGGCTAACCTAGTGGGAGGTCTGCTGAGTGAAACGATTGAGCGGGTGCAACACTACAAACGCTATGTCGATGACGTGATGTTCATAACCAATGGCTAAATGGACCAGGTTGAAAGATTAC